GTGCAAGACACCGTAGATATCTGTGATTCTGCATTTTTTCTCAGAAAGATTCAATTAAACCCCCAAAAACAAACTACAGATAAATAAATAGAAAAAAAAACCAAGATTTTGAGAGGAAAATTTATCCAATAAAATTTGTATGTAGGTCAAAGCACATTATTTCCTGGAATCACTAGGGTACGCAATCATTAAGATGTCAATCTTTTAATTTATTACAAGAGACTTGACTCAAAAATTAAGTCAATCGGTATATGGGCCTATCATAATTTAGAATAACTACGCTGTCATACATGCTGTGCATGACGCGTGCGTGCTGCATTGAAGCACACGGGTTGACAAGGACAGTAAAATATGTTTTGAAGCATTTTTTTCCGCTCGATGAATTAACTTATTCACTATATTGCAAGGATTCTTGACTCTTTTAATTCATATGAAGCTTTCACATAGACAGGTTATCTCGTACGATAAAAAAAAAATACGAAACACAATGTTCTCAGCATCGAGATCTATTTTTTGTTTACGTAATTGTCTGTATACTGCAGAATTAAATCTTTTCTGCTAGTATGACATCAAAAAACATTTGACGTCTTATTCTAAAAGAAAGAAAACATTGTTGTGTTCTTCTCGATAGAACTAAAAATGCGCTATTGCAAGAAATCGTAGCAAAGAGGGTAAAAGAAGACGTTAGAGTATTTTTTTTTTCTTCGTTCTGTAATGTGTACGCTCATAACATTGTTTGCACAAGCGTGCATGAAATTCTCGTGTCAGAGAACGTGACAAGAGGGAAAAGACGTTGCCTTCGCTATCTGCACTCAAATGACTCCACACACACACATATATATATATATATATACCGCGTGACAGTACAGAACTAAACAAAAAACAAAACAAGATTATTTGTGTTGTTACGTGCAAGTTATTTTAAACAACATGAAAGGAAAACGTGCATCAGGTATTTTATTACATATAACTAGTTTACCAGGACCATATGGAATTGGTGATTTTGGTGATGAAGCATATAGTTTTGTTAAAATGCTTCATGAAACCGATCAAAAAGTATGGCAAATATTACCATTAACACCAACAGAAAATTGTTCACCATATTCTGGTACATCAGCATTTGCTGGTCATCCATTACTTATTAGTCTTGATAAATTAGTTGAAATAAATTTATTATCAAGAGATGATTTTGATGAATTATCATCATTTCAATTTGATGATCGTTATGTAAAATTTAATCAAGTTACAAAATTTAAAACACTAATGTTAAAAAAAGCATTTAAAAATTTTCAAGAACGAAAACATCGTTTTAAAGAATCCTTAGAAGAATTTATTCAATCAGAAAATTATTGGCTTGATGATTATGCATTATATATGACAATTAAAGAATTACAAAATAATCCAATATGGTCACAATGGCCACATGGATTAAAATATCATGAAACAGAAGCATTAAATGAAATACGTGAAGGACAACGAGATTTATATGAATATTATATTTTTACTCAATATATATTTCAACAACAATGGTCTGAATTAAAAATATTTGCAAATTCATATGGTGTTACAATTATTGGTGATATGCCTGTTTATGTTGATTATGGTTCATCTGATGTATGGGCAAGTACACATCTTTTTCAATTAGATAAAGATACATTATTACCATCAGTTGTTTCAGGTAATACTTAAATGTTATTTTTTCTTTTTTGAACGTAGGAACTAAACAAAATATTTCCTTAGGATTAAGTGAAGATCTTGATTAATATTGATGGATTTTTATAGTTTTACATAAAAATAACTATGAACCTAAAAAATTGTACCAATAGGTCATCTCGTCATTTTTTTTCTATTCGTTGAATGATGTGAAAGTATTTGACTAGACACTCTGACCCTATCAACGATAAAAGCTGTTTAGTCACTCTTCTCTTTCTGATATATACGATTATATTTTTTATATGAAGTAGACACAACTGAAGTAGTGTAACAAATATCTATATATTGAAAATAGTGATAACGTTACTTGTTCAGTTTGTTATTGTTGATTATAATAAAATATAAATTGAAATAGAACATCATTTCATATCTCTCATTTTCGTTATAATAATTATGTGCTTACTCAATTTGAAACTAATACTTTGTCTAAATTATTAGAATTCATGACATCAAATAATTCTCATTTTATATAGAATATTTGAAATGATCTATTCATGAAGAAACTGATATATATATATATATCATGCCGAAATTATTCTATATTAACTAAAAAGGTAAAAAATTAATTCATTAGTATGAAAAAAAATTTTTTTGCATGCTTTTTTCAATTTTACTAATGATCGACTTGATAGTAAACTAATTGATTTGTCACACTACTGTATTATATTTGTATTTTGAAAATTTATCCAGAAAAGATAAGTAGAGAGTTTTAGGGTATTGATGAGTATCGGATATATGCACACGTCACATACTGGATTTCCTCAACGTATTATCCTTTATTTGTTTCATTTGATACTTTACTGGTTCGCTCGTACCATTATTCATCCGCTCTCATGTTCCTCTATCTAGTATTAAATATTGCTCAATTCGAAATAAACTTGAGAGTTCAAAAACAAATGATTAAACTTGTGTCATGAAGATAGATATGATTCTTTGTGATCTCAATTAATCCCATATATGTTAGTCTTGTAAAAAGTATTGTATATATGGACATGTATAACAAACATCGTTCTACAAAACCTTATATACCAACATTTATCATGATTGATAATTTGTCAAAAATTTTTTTTTTGCGCGTTTTTCTCGACTTATATCTCTTGATGTTTTAATCTATATGAAAGAAAACTAATAGTTAAAACATGATTTTCCATTCAATTTTATACGTTTGATACAGTGGTAGGTATAAAAAACATTATCCCTAGTGATCTATCTGAACAAAAGCAATAGCAAGTCAAAAACCGATAAAATTATCAAAAGAAAAATATTTTTTGAGTTTTCGCTGATTTTTCTAAGTCTGTGATCTCTCTTTGATAGTAAACTATAGATGATCTTAAAATACAAAAGTTAATAAATCTACTATACTCTACACCCAAAGTGATAACAACGTACTCAATAGAGTACAGGAAGTATGTTGTTTCTCCATTGTCTACACGATTAGTAAAATTAAAATCGATTCGGACAATATCGATGTAAATGTATCATACATCTATCTTATTGCAGTTGATTTGTTCATAACGATCGAAAGGTAGTTGACTAAAACGGAAGAAAATTGATAACTTCTAACGAAAGATCGATAGAACAGTATCATCTAATGAGTTCAATTATTTAAATGTTTTTTTTTGTTTTTATTCAGGTTTTCCACCAGATGATTGTAGTGCAGAAGGTCAAAACTGGAATATGCCTATTTATGATTGGAACAATGAATCAAAAAAACCTCAAGTATTTAATTGGTGGATAAAACGTTTAAAAAAAGCATTACATATTCTTGATATTGTACGAATTGATCATTTTCGTGGTTTAGAATCATATTGGTCAATACCTGTAGATGAAAATTTTGTTCCTATGAAACCAATAGATGGTGAATGGGTAAAAGCAGCGTAAGTACGATATATGTATATATATATATATATCGTACAATATTATTTCAATATTTGTTTGTTTTGTTAATTAGAGGTGTTGAGTTTTTCCATGCTCTTATCAGTGCATTAGGAAAAGATTTACCTCTTATTGTTGAAGATCTTGGTAGTTTAACAACAGAAACATTTGATTTACGTGATCAATTTAATTTAACTGGTATACGAATAGTTCAGTTTGGTTTCGGTTTTTATCCAGATAATATGTATCGTCCACATAATTATATACAAAATTCTGTTGCATATACGGGTACACATGATAATCCAACAGCAATTGGTTGGTGGACAAAACATGCAGAACATTATGAAAAGAAAACATTTGTAACTTATATTAGATCACCAGAACAGCTTGATGAATGTTGTAATGAGGATGATAGAGATAATGGTATGATACATTTTTTGAATGGACAGATTCATTGGTATTTAATAAAAATGGTTATGGGATCAGTAGCTAATATTGCTATTGTTCAATTGCAAGATTTACTCGGTTTAGATGATGAAGCAAGAATGAATGATCCATCATTATGTAAGTAATTCAAAATTGAAACTAGTAGAATTTTGTTTTCCTTATCGACATGAATCGTTCTTCTTCTGTTTTTTTTGGTTTCTAATCTTATAATAGTCAAATCAATTCTGTTAGATTAAAAACGAAAATTATCATTGAATCATATCTGTATAATGGGTAGATTCTATGTATTTGAAATTTGACTTTGAAAATAATATATTTAATAGTTATGAATTCTTTATTTTCTATTTTAGCATCAGATGCAGGTAGTGATAGTCAACAAAATTGGACTTGGCGATATCAATGGCCAATGATACAAGACCATATGAAATATAAACTAAAACTCTATACACGTATGTTTTATCGAGCAGGTGAAATTAAGAAATAGAAATATTTTGTATGTATAATCAAGCGATTTTTTTTTAATCTCTGACATTTTACTCTCTATATGAACATTCATTCATTCAATTCTTAATCATTTTTTTTCCATATTGTTTGTCAGTAGAGTGGTCGCTGAACGGTTTTTAATAGAAGTAAAATGTTGTTAAAGTTATAATTTTTCTTTTTTTATAATAAAAGTAGTATTATCTTCATTCACAAGCAATTCATATAGAATAAAATATCTTTGGAAATACTTTCTTACTTGTCCTCAAGAATAATGATAAAAAAGAAAAAAAATAAAATATGAATTGATATTAATAAGAAATTATTCAATATAGACAAATCATAGTAGTAATTCATTTATTTTCCTATTGATTAGATCAAAGAATAATATAGAATAGATAATTGATTGTGTACAGTTGATTGACACTTGTTTCAGTGGCTATCCCATCTAGCAGATTTCAAAAATAATGTATATTATAATCAATCTAAAGAGAAACGACAAAAATCTCTTATCATGGTTGGTATCACATTATTTGATCATGATAATACATTGACCAAATAAATACATATGACATGACGTAAGTAAAGTTAGTACCAGATTCGAGTATTTCTTGTTCTGATTCGCTTTCTTACCTATATTAGCTCTCTAAGTGGTTGTGTTAGGTGCAGAATTTAATATTCTATCGAATGATACTAGTTTCAAGGGGAGTCATCGGGCAAAAACCACAATTTTCTCCTGTAAATCGATAACAAAAATCCTGCATTTCTTGTCCGGATTCACTCTACGACTTATGTTAACTTTGTAATCAAGTACGTTGGATGGAGAATTTAATTCTCTATCCAATGGTATTATTTTCAATGGAAGTTATACCCCAAATATTGGGTCCAGCCAGATCTCGGGTGTTAATCTTGCTCGAATTCGCTACACACCTTGTGTTGACTTTCTAATCAAGTGTGTTGGTTGCAGAATTTGATGTTCTATCCAACGGTACTATTTTCAAGTGGCATCATCGCGCAAAAAATGGGATTTATTCAAGAAATACTCAATATTTTTCTATGTACTCCTAATGGCAATACAGTATTTCCTGTCAGGATTCGTTTTCTGACCTGTGTTGAGTTTTCAAAGAGTTGTATGAGATGCAGAATTGCATTCTCGAATGAATGGTGCTTTTTTCAATGAGAATTATCAAACAAAAAACGGCGATGTGATCCTAAGTATTCGTTTTTTGATCCGATCTAGCTAGTAATCCTTGTCCCCATTCGCCTAGTCACCTATGTTGGGTCTCTAAAGGACTGTATAAAGTGCAGAATTTAATTCTCTATCGAATAGTACTAATTTCGATGGGAGTCATTGGGTAAAAATGTAGGTGAGTTTCCACGATGAGCTCGAGGGATACTGCATGAAGGTAATAGGTGTCGGCAAACTGCAGAATAGCTCAAAAGCGATGCGTTAGTCTGCCACGCTCGACTGACTGACTCATCAACATTCACACCCACACCCTCGATAGAGAATGAAATTTTGCACCCAACACACTTGATTAGAAAATCAGCACGGAGTCGTGTAACGAATCCGGACAAGGTTTACGCCAGAGAAGTGGTGCTAGAACCAGTATTTAGGGTACAACTTCCCTTTTTTGCTTGATAACACATCTTGAAAATAGTACCATTCGATAGAGCATTAATTCTGCACCTAACACAACCACTTAGAGAGCTAACACAGGTAAGGAAGCGAATCGGGACAAGAAATACTTGAATCTGGTGCTAACTTTACTTACGTTCTTAAATGATACAAAGAATTAAATAAATAACAATAATAACACGTATAATGGGAGTATATAGTTACTAAATTCAATAAGGTCAACAAATGAACAACAGCATTAAAATCTTTCTTAAAAACAACAAAAAACAAATTTTTTTGTAGGGTTCATTTTTCTATTCATTTCTGACGATGATGTTTGAGTTGTAAACATCGAAATATCACAGAATAAAATCACTACAGGTTCTCAAAATGAATATAAATAATTCGTGTTTTAATCTTTAACTGCAAATTTATATCTAAAAGACATGTACATTTAACAATCAATTTTTACAATGGCACGAGTGCAAAATTTCCTATCGGATTGTTTTGGATTTCAATGACTTCTTCTATTAGTTGATGTAAGTTATACAACATTAAACTGGCGTTTGGTCTGAAGCATTTGTTGTTGAAATCCTATGAATTTATTAAAGAGTATTCTCAAATGCATTAACATTTGATTTCCAGAACGTAAAGGTCAGATAGAATGTTACCCAAGTCAATGATTTCGATCACAAAACTCAGGAAAATTGATAGGAAATTGGAGGCAGGAATCCGGTGATCGAATTTTTCTAGTTCCAGTCGTAGCCAACCATTGGATTTCTGCTTCCAAGTTCCTATTAATATTCCGAGTTTTCCAACTGGAAACGGCCTATATTTCTTGACCTAAGTATATCGACTGATCAGACCAGACTAAAATTTCAAAATTTATTCTGACTTGGCAACTCTGTAAGTACTCACGAAATGCTCAATATTACAAGGCGTGTACTCAATTGTCGAGCTCGGATACTTCGATTCCAGCATGGATACTAGTGATAAGTACCACAGAGCGTCACAGGACGCAGGATAGGAAGCTGCAGGTCCACGTTTTTGTGGACCCGGATCCGGTAGAGTCCAAACTCGAGGTTCTTTCCATCAATACCTTGCACCTTTCATGTACATGAACAAGTGAAGGATCAAGGTTTCAGCTATTTATTCGCTACTCTCACAAAAAAACTCAAAATACAGTTATGTTTTGTTACTTTATTTCTTATCTGAAGAGAAGAGAGTCCACAAGAACGTGTGATCGGGTTCAACAAAAGATAAAAGGTTGAATCCGACAGGGTCCAGGTTCAGATCTGGAAGGACTCGCAGCTCCCTAATGTAGGACTTGTCGTGCAGATAATCTATTTTGTCGGACATCCAAGTTACCACACTGATCATGATCTAATAAAATTTTGCTCTAATAGTGAAACTCGTCATGATTTCCCCATTATTATAAATAGTAGCTAGAAGAGTTCATGTCATAACAGCAACTAGTGCTTTGACGAAAAGATTATTGATCCAATCGAATCGTCTTTGGATACTTTCAACGAAATTTTCTAATTGAAATTGGATAGTCACTCCAAAGATACGAGATAATTTTTTCCGACTTTTTGTTTTCAATGAGAACTGCATCCTACACATTTCTCAAACGACTACAGTTCATCAGATCCAAAATTTTCAGACCCGGAATCAGTCTGATTGATTCTACCTGCAAGTAAAATGAAAGAAGATCTTTTGTTCTATTAGGGTGAACTTTTTTGATATCCTGTAAAATGCAGAGCAGGGCGAAGAAAATCGTCCTGCGACGTTCTCTAATGACTACTCGCCCATGTATTCAATCACTAGGGATATTTTCAAATCTATTTAAGCTCTTAAATATTATAATCACTAAAAAAATAAAACATGCTTCTAACATTCAGAATAACTTCTTTTTTTTTTTTTTTGCTACACTAAAATCTAAAATAGGTACAAGCATCAATTTTAATTAAAGAAAAAATTAGGAATAAAAATAAAGTATTGTTTTCTCATCAAAAAAAAATTTCGTTTTTTGTTTTTATTGAATTTAAATTCGTTAGATGTCACTACTATTCATGGATAAATAATTTCTTCTAACGTAGCGCTATTTCTGTTACATACAATAAACTGATTTGTTTTGGTTATCTAAAAATAATCATCAGTCGAAAGACTAAATAAAAAAGATGAATCGTTATCACCATTTCGATGATGAACTCGATTTAAATATAAGAAATTCAGCAGCTATTTTACATGAAGTCGAAATTGATGAGCCATATCAATTAGAAGTTAATTCTCAAATTTCAACACATTCTTCAAATTATAGTAAATTAAAAATATTTTTCTTACGTCGTACATTACTTGAACGTTATTTATTTTTCTTAACAATTTTTCTTTTAATTATTTTATTTATTATAACTATTATTTATCTTCGATATTCAAAAGAAAATTTTTATAATTCCATATGTTTAACTCCATCATGTATTCAAGTATCATATGAATATTATTCTAGTATAAATCAAACAATTGATCCATGTGAAAATTTTCATGAATTTGTATGTGGTAATTGGATTAAAAAAAATATTATTCCAAAAGGTCATTCATCATGGTCAATAATAAAAGAATTAACAAAAAAAAATATAATTATATTAAAAAATCTTCTTGAACAAACATCAATATCATTATTATTATCTAATACTGAACAACAAACTATTAAATATTATCAATCATGTATGAATATAACAGAAAGTGAACGATTACATATTGAACCATTAGAAAAATTTTTTCAATTAAATTTAAATTTTACATTAAACCAATGGATTAATTTAGATAAAAATCAAACATGGCAACAATTATTTATTTATTTAATTAAAATATTTTCAAATCAATATGAATTTACAAATATATTTCCAATTAAAATTAGTCCAGATGAAAAAAATTCAACATGGTATAATATTCATGTAAATTTGTTTTTTCTTTTTTTTTGATAAATAAAATTTTGTTTTTCTTTTTTTTTAAAGATTAATCAACCTAAACTTATTCTTGATAGTCGAGATTATTATATTAATTCAACAAAAAATAATCAAACAAATCAAAATGTGAATTTTTTTTTTTTAAATTTATTCAATTTTCTAAAATTTTTTTCTTTTTATATTTAGATTCGAGAAGCATATAGTAAAGTTGGTTCAGATATATTACAATTACTTGGTTTTGAAAAAAATGATTCAATTAAACGTATGGATAATATTATTCAATTTGAAACTGAACTTGCAATAGTTAATTGTAAGTTAATTATATTCTTAAAAAACAAAAAAACCGAACAAAAACTATTCGATATATGTCGGTAGTGATAAATCATTGACGGTTCCAAAAATTACCTGGAATTATTGAAATTAAAAACACTACATATTTCAATAATTAAATCTTTAATCTCAAGAATAAAGATTTCTCGAAAAAGAAATTTTTTCTATCCATCTGATAATTTAACGATTCTAAAACGTTTTCTCTTTTCCCAATGTTCCAATTTTTTTCGAAATCGTCAAACTCTAGATTAAAGATTGTATATCAACAATGTCTGAACAACTTCCTTATTACATTTCTGGGGAAGTGTATTCCAAATAATCTTTCTGTAATGAGTAATATCAGTTACATCGTGTTCTACATTTTAATTCCATAGGAATTATGTCAATAGGTTTTTGTTTTGATTATAAATTAATGGAGAAAATTAAAATATTATGGTATATTTTCTATATTTTAGCCAAATACAAGAAAAAAAAAACATATGTTTTTAAAGTATTTGTTATTTTATATGAAATTATACAATAAAAGATAAGATTAGAGAAATAAATATGGGTAAGCATGCTAATCCTAATCTGCAATTTTTGTTTTGTTGTATCCCACGCACATCTCTAGCTTAGATAAACATATTCGTTGTTTTTTTTGTATATTATTTGATATAAAATTTATTTTATAAGAATTGTTTATCTTCTTTTTTTAAGTACCTATGGAAATTTTACAAAAACCATTAGAAAAATATTATTTAATGAATTTAAAACAATTTCAAGAACAATATAAATCGATAGGATTTGATATATATTTATTTTTAAATGATATATTTAATGTAAATATATCAAATCCAATAAAATTAAATGAAAATGATCAAATTATTGTTTATTCCTATGAACTTATGTTAAATATATCAAAAATTTTAACAAATTATTTATTAACATTAAATAAAAGTTATATTATTATTGATCATTTATTATTTTCATTTGTATTTGATAAAATTTTATATTTATCACCTTTATTTGAAAAAACTCTATTACCATTAAAAAAAGAACTTTATGGAATTGATTCACTAACTGAACGATGGGAATTTTGTATTAAACGAACAGATGAAGCATTTGGATATGGACTTGGTAAGTTACAAAAAAAAAAAAAAAAAAAAAAAAAGAAAAAAAAAACAAGTTTTATTTTAAGGTGCTTTATATAGTAGAGCTGTATTCGATGAAACTGATCGATTAAAAGCAAATGAATTAGTTAAAAATATTCGTATAAGTTTCGAAGAAAATCTTAATAATCTTCAATGGATTGATGAACAATCAAAAATTGAAGCAAAGAAAAAATTAGAAAAAATGAATGAAAAAATTGGTTATCCAGAATTTATAAAAAATCAAACAAAATTAAATGAACGGTTAGTTAAACTATTAATAATTCATGAATTTTTCGATATTGAATTGGCTATCTGACAAGATTTCCTATATGAACAAAATTTCAGATGAAAATTCGAGACCTCTAGAAAAAAAAAATTCTATAATTTAGTCAAATCTCATTCTGCTGATTAACCTATCGACAGAAAGACATAATCTTTACATACTAACCGATAGAACTTTTCAAATACTATAAAACTTAAAATAGCAGTCCTTCAACTAGAGAGCTGCAGATCCACAAAAACATGTAACCCCGATCCGGCGATATATTTTCATGAAAATTCTTCATTGGAAAATATATATGAATTTATAGGTTTATATAGTCGCATTCTTAGAAAAATAAAACCATAAAAAAAAAAAAAGTTTAATTTTAGTTATGCTGATTATTCAATTATGGAAAATGAATATTTTAATAATGCAATTCAAGTACAACAACGAGAACATCGACGTCGAATTTTAAAATATCGACAAAAAGTTGATTCTATTGAGTAAGAATTTAAACTACGAAAAAAAAAGAAAATACAATAGTATAAACAATTATTTTTTCTTTTTTCCATTAAGATGGAGTATAACACCACGAACAGTTAATGCTTATTATGCTCTACAATTAAATGAAATTGTTTTTCCAGCTGGTATTCTTCAATCACCATTATTTCATAAAGATTTACCATTAGCAATTAATTATGGAGCTATTGGATCAGTTATTGGTCATGAAGTTACACATGGTTTTGATAATGAAGGTCGAGAATATGATAGTAATGGAAACTTACGTTCATGGTGGACAAATATATCATTAAATAATTTTCAAGAAAAAACAAATTGTTTTATTAAACAATATTCAAATTTTTCAATCGATGGACAATATGCCAATGGACAAAGAACATTAGGTTAGATAAAAGAACATGAACTCTTCTAAGAATATTCATAGCATCATTAGAATCTACATGATGCACATACTTTTCATATTCAAAAGTAATTAATCAGTCGGAAGTTGAGATGTGTAGGATCAAAATTTGGAATTTTGCTAGAAGTGAGACTAACAGGAAAAAAAAATGTTCCAATAGAAACACAAGATTATAAGTAGATATTTTATAGTTTTAAGCGAATTATATATTGAAAAAGAGTTCAAGAGAGAGATGACGTAAAAAGTGTTAGTCGTCGACTAAAATAAATTTAAAAAAAACGAGTATCGAAGAATTTTTTTAGATGTGATACGAATAAATTCTGAAATAGTTTTTCTAGATCGAAACTAAATCAGATTTATCAAGGTCATAACTAAGGATGTAACGATGATAATAACTCTATCTACGGTTATTGATTTTTCACAAAGGAAAGGATTTTCTCAGAAAATAGAGGTTCTCTATAAAGGTTGATGAATGTAAATCGGGATCGAAAAATCCAAATCGGCGATCAGTTTCTCAAAATTGAATACTAAATTTTTTCACGTCGGGAAATGCTATTGTAGGAGAGCAGACCAATAAAGCAAGTATACGATTTCGAGGAATCAATTACAGATTCAGATTCTTCGACCTCGATTTACTTTTGTCAATCTTTATGAAAAACCGATAACTATAACACCGGTGAATGATCGTCGTCGTTGCAACTCTAGTCATAATTACGGGAACTAAAAACCTTTAGTTCGCACATCTGTAGTATTCACCTTGGAATAAAAGAACAGTAGATTTACGCTGAATAACTCGACAATAGTAACAGTTAGCGACCTATGGTTTTCAGAAATCCAAAGAGGAAAACTTCGAACATCTTTTTGTCTGATATAAGATAAAATTATTTGAATGTTCACTATCTTCTTAAAACATACCTGAAAAAGTTTTGATAAAAAGTCAGAATGAAAAAACTAAAAACGTCAAAATCGAACATCATTTTCATACAATACTTTTGCTAAGATGATTTTTATCTTATCAATTCTATCTCGTTAATTCTTTCATAAAATCTTATTGTGTTTAAAAACAAAAACCATCAATATTCATTTTAGTCAAAAAAACATAATCAAAAATTGTAAGAATTTTTCTATGCTAACAAATTGCTCAAGTTTGATTTTCTCTTTATTTTTGTTTTTTTTTTTTCTAATTTTTCTATTATTTTAATTTCTCTAGATGAAAATATTGCTGATAATGGTGGTGTAAAAATATCTTATTTTGCATATCAAAAACATAAACAACGTACATTAAATACTAGTAATGATCTTCGTCTTCCAAGTTTAAATTATAATAATGATCAATTATTCTTTATTGCATTTGCTTATGTATGAAATTTTAAACGATCAAAAAAAAAACATAATTTTTTTTTCTTTTCCCATAGACTTGGTGTGATATTGAAACTTCAAATTCTTTGCATGACGATTTAATAAGTGATCCACATTCACCAGCATCTATTCGTATATTTGGAACAGTACAAAATAGTGATGAATTTTCGAAAGCATTTTCATGTAGATCAAACACAATGATGAATCCGAGTTCTAAATGTCAATTATGGTAGTCTTTCAAATGCATTTTTAAATCGACCAAAAAAGAATTTCTTTTTTGATATCTTTGAGCCATTGTTTTAACAATTAACATTCATCTAGTTTTTTTTTTTGTTTAAATAATTAATAATAAAATTGATAATTTTTGTTTTAGATGATAACAGATGTAAAAAATTCAAATGTTAGTCGACAAGAATTTATTGATTTACTTTGTCGAATAACAAAAACAGATGAAGACATGACAACAAATACTAAGGATGATAATAATAATAATAATAATAATAATCAAAATGAACCAGATGTAACAATTATTGATAATACATCAATAGTTGAAGAAGGTGAAATAATTACGCTTGATAATGATGTTGTTATTATTAATAAAAAAGAAATTGAAGATGGTGAAATAACAGAATCACAAGGATCAGATGTATGTGTCATAGATTTATTATTTTTTTCTCAACAGTTAATTTGAAGATAATTAAAAAGAGGAAAATTAATGCGATTAATTTAATCGAAAAAAAAAAACAATATAGGAATTACATGACCATCGCCTGTTGTTTTTCAATTACGACTCATATTAATATTAATAAATGGACTTGATAAGACTTATAAGTTTTATATCAATATAGCGTAGAAGAAAGTTGCTGATAATAGAACAAGGAACAAAAACTTCCTATCGATTGAAACTAAAGATCGTAATTAAATATTCTACGATTTTAAGCGAATTATCCTATAAATCACAACATAATTCAAGAAAGATGACCGAAAAAAAAGTGCTAGTCATCGATTAAATAAATCAAAAAAACGAGTATTGAAGTGTGATACGAATCAATTCTGGAATAGTTTTCTCTAGGCCGAAACCACTACAAAAAAGAGTTACCCGAACCGGAATCAAATATTCCAATGACTTCTGAATACATAGGAAAACTGATTTTCGACTGGAAACTTTGCATAGGGATAGGCCTTAGAGAGAATAGATCTTTTGTGGATGTTTCAGATCTTGTTGCTATTCCTATCTTAATATTTCTGCCTTGATCTTTTACATTGTCCATATTAACCGACAGATTTAATGATCATATTTCACGTACGAGTGGAAAGGTACTGTTAACAGAGAAACAGGTAAAAGAGTTACAGAAAATTCGTCGATTTAATTCTTTCGTTAAGAAATGACTTATAGATCAGAGATCGATTCGAACTGAGTTTACTGGCTCGAGTTCGGTTAAGTCTCTGGTTTACATAATGCACATCATTTCGACTTCATAGCAATTGAAGGATTTTCTTCGTAAGAAAAATTTTCTAACCCTTCGCTAGGGCTCACGTTCACGAGGAGCGACGAACATAGTTAAAATATGTTTTCTTCTCTCTATTTATTCTTCCAGAAAACAAACGTTTATATACACACATGAAAAACAAGAACAAAATAGAAACGAATACAAAGATTAATCAAGGACAAAGAAAAACAATAGGAATAAAAATATCAAAGAGAATAGATAGGTTCGAGGTGTATGTAGTGAGAATACGTCATTACATCCTTATCCTCTCCTATACTAAAAACAAATTTCTATTACGAAACCTAAGAAGGTTCTTCATGCGAATACAATCTCGGAAGCTTTTTTTTGGGATTCATGTCAAACACTAATTGTAAGACTTTTAACAAAGAATTAAATTCATAAGTTTCGTTTAATCGTTCACTTTCTTGTTTATTATATTCATTGTTTGTTATTTTTTTAATCAATAATAGAATGATGATGATGATGTTGAAGAACTTAATCTACGTTTAAATGCTTTACGATCATTGGCTGGAGCAAAAAAACAAAAAACTAAAAGTAAATTTATAATTTTTATTCTACAAAAATTTTTTCGTATTTGTTTTTTTCCTATTAGAATTTAAACCAAAACGTAAACGTCCTAATGACAATAATCGTTATATAAAAGATGATATTGATCTTCGTTCACCTAATAAAAATCGTTCATCATCACGATATAATACAAATCAACTATCAAATAATAATGATGATCGAGAATATTTACTTGATAAAGATTATCGACAACAAAGTGTTTTCGATATGCTTCTTTCTCTTATCTCGCCTGATAATAATAACAATAATTCCACTGCTACAAATATCACTAATAAAAAACTTCTTGATAATTATGATATTCAACAAATGGACATTGTTGATGATCATCCGATTACAGTAGTGCCACCACCTCCACTACCTCCAATCCCACCACCACCACCACCATTACCACCAAATCATTTACCATTTTTTGATCCATTACCACCACTACCACCTCCACCACCATCATTATTTGATATATTTACGGCTAATCAAACATTTTCATCAACAAATTGGCCACGACCAAATTTTGTTCAACAAAATTCAATACCAACAATTCAAAATGATTTATGGCAAACATCATTTAATCATACAACAGATATTGATCTTCGTGTTCAACCAATAAATCATAATCATAATCATAATCATAATCATCATCATCATTCAATAAATCAAATCAATGAACAATTATTACATAAAAAATCACAACAAAAACGAAAACGTACAAAAAAAACTTCAAAAAAACATCATCATGAACGTGAATCTCCATCGCCTATTATTATTATAAATACAACAAATCAATATGAAAAAATACAAGAAAAATTACCAATACTAATTGAAAATAATAATAAGAACAATGATGATGATGATGAAGAAGAACGTTTATTACGTGAAGAACTTTTACGTAAATTATCAAATAAACGTCAAGTTAAAATAATTGAAAAAACAAATTTAGAACCAGAACGTATTGTTACAATAGTACCATCAACAATTATACAAACAAATACAAATCCAACAATACCTATTGTCGTAAATAAACCAATTGAAAAAACACAATATAGTATTAATCAACGATATAAACGTGTTAAAGCTAATGTATCATCAACAAATTTAACAAATAAAATTGAAACAACAACAACAACAACAACTGCTGTTCGTACTACACAACCAATTATTCAAACACGAAATAAAATTGTTCGTGTAGTATGTATTTTTATTTTTTATTTTAATTCAATAATTTTTTTCTTCTTTTTCATAAGCCTGAAACTGATATTGAAATTCCACAATCAAATCCAATTATAATTACATTTGATGATCAAACAACAGATGATGATGAACAACAACAACAACAACAAACAGTTAAAAAATCAAATGAATCAACATATGTAATTGCTGATGAAGAACGTCAAGCTATTAAACGTTTACAACAACTTCAAGAAGATGTTATTCGACGAACTAATACTATTGAATCAACAACTAAAACTATAGTACAAAAAAATCAAACATCACCACCGAATGATATCAGTCAAGAAGCAATACCATCAACAGATGAATTAAGTGCTTTATTAGATAAACGGTACAAAAAAACAAATTTTCTCAACTATTTCTTTCAATGTAGAATGCACTCGACTGTTTTTTTAATAACTTTTGACAGGAATATCATAGAGATGAGCAGTTTTCACCATGTAAAAGAGAAGATCCGTGGATAGAGTCCATCAGATCCATGTCCAGAAATTCTTGAAACCAATTGACTCTACTGGTGGATCATCGAGCTATATCGAAATTTGATTGGTCAATCAGATAAGCTCTTGATTCGATTTACGCAACGTCAACATTCCTAGCTTGTTTCATTCGAGAGTTAGAAAACTTTTCTTGAGATCCGCGATTCCAGCCAATTGATCTGTGATCACCTGGAATAACAGCTAGATAGGAACAATTAACCATGCTGAATTGAATGGTGATATTTGTTTGGTTTTAGTTATTTCAATATTTCTGAAGTGTCAACTCCTTCGTTACATATGAAGGCTGATTGTGAAATTATAGAAATACTGAGATAACAGAGTCAAATCATTTAGAATTTGAAAAAAAATATATCATCATTCGATTCGGAATAGTGAATTACTCCTTTCTGGTTGCTTTTCCAGATGATCACAGATCAATTGGTTGAAATCGAGAATCTCAGGAAAAGTTGTATAACTCTCAAACAGAACAAGCTAAGAATGTCGGCTTTGCGTAGAACGAAAGAGAAGAGTTTTTGTCTATAAAGTAGTCCTTTTAAACATCTAAATAGAAAGGAAAATATCGTTTTCAACAGTCTTCACCTATCGAGAAATTAGGATAGCGTAACGGTACATTTCTCTATTCTGGATCAAAATCCTAGTTTAAAAAGTTGAATTAATATTTCAATTGAATCAAAATGCTAACAATATTATTAGGACCTTTTCTAAGATATAATTTGAATGACAAAAAAAAACCAAGAAAATATATATTTTCTTATTCTAGTCGAATGTTACTTAGTGACCGATCTAAATATGGTGAAATTCAAGAAAAAATGAAAAAGAAAAAATTAGAAAATGGACTTTTAGCACGTGATATTGAAAGACTTGAAGAACAATTATTAACAAAAAAAACTCAAATTACAAATAATAATGCACTTTTACAATATTGGCAAAAAGAAGTAAGAAAATTATTTTGAAATAAATTTAATAAAAACAAAATTATTATCATGATTTTTGATTGAATTAGGCAATGTCAATTGCACAAAATATAAGACAACAAGAAGATTTAATTCTTCAATCGGCTGTTTTTAAATCTGTTAAACCAGTAATTTTTTTTTGTTTTTTCTTGAAAAATTTTTATTAAAATATTTTACTTTAGATTTCATCATCGGTTTCTAAATCACGTACAACAATTGAATTTGATTATGATAATATTTCGAAAGTATTCGAAGAAAATAGTGTATGTATATAATATTGACAATAAATAATGATTTTTGCTTTTTTTTATTACTTTTGTTTTCTATGTTATTATAGACACAAATACTTTTATCAATACTTATTTGTCCATTAAATTTTTATCGAAAATTACGTCCTTATCATATTTGGTTAAATACTATATCAAAAAAAATTCAAGAGGTTATTTATATTCTTATGATTATTTATTTATACGAAAAACAA